ATATTATCTCTAGTGCTATCTATGCCTCCGGAACAAATACTAATTCCAGAACTTTCTACTAAAATCATCGATTAATAACATAAATCTCGATGACGCACTAAGGAGTATCACATTACAATTACAAATTAATTTAAAATATATAGTGCAGTTCCTAAAGAACTCCACTGGGATCTAGAGTTAGACACCCTCTAAACCTCCCAGCATTATTAACCCCAGGTGTCTCGATATTAACTACAATCTGATTTTGATAATTAGTTGTGTTAAATAAAAATAATATATAATAATTAATTGTAAAATTTTTAAATATAGATTAATGGAAAAGAGAATAAAATTACAAAGCGGAGTTACTAGACGTGAAATTTATATAATACTGATTTATACCAGGAAAAATTATATTTTGGTTTAACTTCAAAAATTTGTTGGTTCAAAAAATATTGAATTTAACTATAGTACTTAGCTTTTAAACGAAAATAATGATCTCTATTTTATGTTCTGCTTTTATCTCAGCATTTTAAGGATTAGTCAAATATAAATGACGAAGATTCTTAAACAAAAACTGCAACTGAATTAATTAACCTTAAGGCATCCACCTGCTCATCAATCATTAGTTTTTTAAGATTAGAAGAAGGATATTCAGGTCTGTTAATTAAGCTGAATTTCTGGCTATTGAGAAAGAAATCTGATTTGGACTTTTGGAATTGGTTGTATATTTGAGCAATTCTAGTAACATAATAAAACATATTTAAAAAATAAAAATTCATATTGAATCAGGTTTTCCATAAAAGCATCAAAAATAGTATATTTATTGAAGGTAGTTTAATCTATTCATAAATTATTGGTGAAACTATATATTTATTTATATATTAGAAATGTCAAAAGAAATCAAAAAATTATTAAAATAGACTGATTCTAAACATTAATGAAATAAATGATTTGATTTCTTCATAAATTTACAGCTTTGAATATCTTTATGTTAAATTAGAAGTTTTCGACAGCACTTTTAATTATAAATTCAAATATCTTAATGTCTTTCTATAACCTGGAATTACAATTGAACAATCTTTATGAATAGCTATTGTATAATAAATACTATTATGTTATCGAATTAATCTGTACCAATATAACTATATAACTTTGGCTATAAGAATCGCCTTAATGTTACTTTAATTGAATTTCTAATAGGTTATTAAAACCATGAATCCTTATTCTTTCCTTTAATTGATCTGTTTTTTCAGTCATAAATAATCTTGAGTACTCTACTTTCACAAATCTTAATCAAGAGATTTCTTGTTCTCTTTGCTGGATCATCGGTGGCGACCATATAATAAGAATCCTTTTTTAATGATTTAATTATGTAATTATTCATTTTGTAATAATACAAAACGACTTATTATGTTGAATAAAACTAAAAGGAGAACGAAAATAAACGATTACCTTAATGTTTGTTATTTTATTTTTTTATCCAATTATAATTTATGATTATGTAAGTTCCTTGAAATATTAAACTAACTCTTCTATCATATGATAAAATTGTGGCGTTATTTATTTGTTAGAAGTAAAAATTTTTAGATCAATGACTTAACTAAATATTATCTAATAGTATTTATGACTTAAGACTTATCAGATATATTAGTAATAAGAATAGTGAACTGGCTTGAAACTCTTATTATAAATCAAGATTATTCAAAAAAAACTTAAAAATTTAAAAAGGATAACAGAGAACTTAATCAGTTTATTGACTTAATATTGAATTATTTGAATATAAATTGCATAATTAATTTTTTATGCTTTAATTAAATAGAAAATCCCGGAACCAAAGTTTATACATGAAGGATTTAACTTAACTGTATAGATCTCCTCAAATCGGTGCACAAGGGGGATTTGAACAATTTGATGAAGCGACATATAGTCATAATCAGCCTAATTTACCCATTGAGGGGGTCCATAGGTGTGCCCCATGCTAAATTTTTATTCAAATTTCGGAAATTCTTACATAGCTTGACTAATACAGCCATCTTAGATAATAAAATTGCTTAAGAGATTCCTGTCAACTAAAACTTTGATTGTGTTGGCAAATATCAGTATCTTCTTGGATCATGATAAGGTCTTCTGTATACATAGATAGTATTTATTTTACATGAAAACTAAATCTCCATCTTCAATCTGGATTGTAATCATGGTGGATTCCTCTTTTTAAAGATATGAAGCTTCTAGAGTAAGCAATATTTTATAAATTACTTTAATAGTTTGAAAATTACTATAATTTGTATGCTTGTATGGCATCAGTTTGCTTTGATTTAAGAGGATCTTAAATCAATATTAGATATATCATAGAATTTAAGATTATTAACAGTCTTGGTGTAACCATTCTGGTTATAAGGTTTAACTTCAAAAGACTCCTAGTACTTACTAAGAACAGAATGTTGATAAAAGGACTTTGGAAGATGTCTTCTTATGTAATATCAAAAGATAAGAAAAATAGTTTGTAATCTGGCAATTAATAAGATTATTGTATATAATTCTGAGTTTCAGTTCTTGTTTCATATTTGATCAACAATTAATCAAATTATCTTAATTTAATACCATCTTTATTTCTACTGTTGGCTTAATATGTGATCTAATCCAGTAAATTATATCTTGATAAATAATCGCAGCAAACTATTAAAATACTGCTTTCCATTCAAATTTAGTACTCATAGGAATATGCATGTCTACTTTTCTTAAAAATAACCTTAACACAAAGCTGTTCTTCTTCCCCATTAAGAGCACGAATTCGGGTATGAATTAAAGTTATCAAAGAATTTGCCTTTCCATTTTCGTAAACATTAATATTTAAGAAAAACGAATCAGTAGACACTAATTCTTGAGCCAAAATGATATGAAAATTCTAGAGAACTTAAGATCCTTTATGGGAATACTCCTAATTGTTTCAGGGGAGGATATTCAATTCTTGATCGATAATATTATTACTCGTTGTTTTTGCTGATAGACTGATTCTTGATTGAGAGATGGCAAAATTAGAAGTTAACTTTATTTATAAATAATGATAGCCTACATTTACCCTATTTAAAAAACAATGAATAAAAGTAGAGGGATATGAAAAATATTGATAATTTATATTCTTTTATCCATAAGAAGTAACTATCATTAGTACAACTGTATGTTAGACGACAAAAAAATCACATTAACGAATCTAAGGATTGAAAAAGAACTTCAAAATACATCTTACATATCTAGAAGAGGATCTAGGTTCTCAGTTTTGTATAAAATTAAATTATGCTATTTTGAATTATCAAAGCCATTATCTACATTTTGGAGAGGTCATTTGCTATATCTAAGACTTTATGTTCCAAATGCAGCATTTAACTTTGCTTTCAATGATGCTTACAAAACCCTTTTTGTCTTTTGGTGGTGTTGGCTTGGACGAAATTTTTACAATTTCCCAAAATTTAGTTTTATCAATTGTTAATGGAATAATGACTCAAAAATTTATACTTAAAATATAAAATTTCGGTTAAATAAATTGAGTAAAATTATCAAAAAAATAATGTTGCTATTTAATATTAAGTCAAAAAAAATTATTATAGTTACTCTCTTTTATAAATTTATATATTGATAAAATAACAGTGAGCGTTTTTTAAAATTAAACATGTTAATTTAGAATTATGGCTTTTTTAATGATTAGGTAAATTTTTAATCAAATTATTCAAAGATTCCATAAGTTCCTTCTCTAATTTTTGAAAACTTAAAAAAATTTATAGATTTGCTAAAATTTGCAATTTAACTCAAATCTTATTACAATTCTGTTATAATATAGAACCTTTAAATAGTTAAGATAGAACAAAAAAAAGGTTTTGCCAAATTGATTTTTGCATCAAAGAAATTTGATTAAAATTTAAAGGAAATATCTGTTATTTATTTAAGGGAACAAAGGCTTATTAAAACATATGCTTTAGGTTTAATGTTCCAGTTTTTATAATATTTACGAAAGATAGAATATTTTAATTTATTTAAAAATTTAATTTGTTAGAGTATTTCCTTGAATGAAGAAATAAGAATGCTTTATATAAGTAGATTTTATTACATAACACATTATTTAAATAATAAATAATTCTATTTAATTCTAATACTAACAGTAATTGATTCTTCATTCATTCAGACCCAAAAAGGGAGAAATTATACGTTTTCTTAGTAAAATGCTTTCGGGAGGTGCAGCTGGTGGAACAAATTTGCTACTGATTTATCCACTTTCATTTGCAAGCAGTAAATTAGCTATAGATAATTAAAAAAAGGTGAACCGGTAATTCAATAGTTTGAAAGATTGTGTGAGGAAGATACATAAGTCGGATAGCTTGAAGGGATTATATAGAAGATTGAGAATTTCAGCTTTGGAATCATATTATTTAGAAGTGTCTCCTTTGACTGTTATGACACAGCGAAGGGAACTATCTTCAAAAATTCGTTGATGAGCAATGTTGGTGCATAATTCATTGTTGCTACTTCATACATAGTACTTCTAGTATCATGTCACCTACATTTGATATAATCAGAAGAAGAATGATGATGCAATAAAGTATTCCTTGAAATTACTAGGAAGCTCTTAAATTCATTATAAAAATGATTTAGATTGCACAGTCTCGATTCTTAATAGGGAAGGATTAAAATGCTTTTTTAAAGGAGCTATCTCATAATCCTTTTTTGGAAGCAGATCTGCTCTGTCTTTGGTTCTTTATGATGAAATTAAACAATTTTTAAGTCCAAGTTCGAAAAATCAAAGAAGGGTATGATAGGGATTGATAGATTATTTTCAACAAAGTTATCTGTTAAATTCTTCTAGAAATATATACCCTTAGAATTATATGTAATAATGGTTGGTTATATATAATAATAATTTGTATTCAATCATTTAATTATTGTTTTAAGGAATAATGATCAAACAAATTTGAACTTTGATAGTCCTAAAAATTTAATATATCACAATTTTGAATTCTCCCAATTTGATCAAGTTAAGGCTAATTTATTGATTCTTCTAAATGATATAATTCAGCGAAATATGCTATGCCATAAGTAATATTTGATATCATAATTATTTAATTAGAATATATACTTAAAATTTATTGACTTTAAAATATTTAATACAATCTAAATTGAATTATAATTAAATATCTCTCTTATAATGTTTTGAATCATCATAAATAGTCAATATGAGAAGTTTAATTAGAACTATTCATTAAAAAGACTAAATAAAAAATCATTGCAGGACTGAATATAATTTTCAAAGCTACTAATTAAGGCTGAATTTAGCACTAAGTTAAATTAATAAGCGTATTTTTAATCACTAAATTTTTATTGCATACTTCTTGCAATTTCTAAAATAATTTACCGCAAGGCCCAAATGAATATATTCATTTGGGTCAATAAAAGTAATATCAATAAAATAAAACCCAAAAATAATCCCTAATTTTCCAATTTTTTCTGGTTGATTTTGAAATTCTATTCTATATTAAAATTGGATAATATTACTAAACTATATTTTAATTATGGATTTAATAGTTCCAAGTTATTCAACCCTATTGATAGTTTAGAATTCCTCTAAATCATCTTATCTTATATAGGAATTAAAATTACCATATGATTATAACTAATCTTATTTAGGTTTTTCAAGTATAAATTATTTCCTATGATATTAGAAATCTATAAACTTTCAGTATATTTCAGAATCCATCCTCTAGTACAATAATGTAAAAGAATATTAATATTAAAAATTTTACATTCTCATTTTTGAATAAAAATTTAATTCTCTGGGTCAACTTAATATTTGAAAAGATAATGCATATTATGTGAGAATATCAAAGTTTCTATTTGTGAGTTATTTGAACTTCAACCTTTATATTACGATTCCTTTTGCTTCTATAAAATAGTTAGTCATATGCGCCATAGGGTTAAATTGATAGGTTGCTTTTGAAATGATAAATTCACAAGAAAAATTGTCAAGGAATGTTAGAATCAGATTAGACAACTAGCAGCATGGTTTTCATAGATTCATCACTAGGTATCAAAAAAATCATATACTGCAACTATTCACTTGACAAAAATAAATCATACTATTTTGCCTTTAAGTTTTATATTTATTTAAAAAATTTTTTTCAAAATAAATCCTTGTTCAATAATACAAATTCCAATTTAATACAATGAATTGGTTTTTGATCTTATGAATTAAGATTTAAAAATTAATAAATAAAAATTGAATTAAACATCTCATTCTTAAATTAAAATTTTATTACAATTTTAGCATGAATCTCCAATATATGAAGATTAAATTTTGAATGAGAACATTATCGATTATTGTTACATCTGATCTTTCATTATAAAATGATATTATTTTCAGAAATCAACTTTGATTTGATATTTATTAAACATTTGTAGTACAAATTTGTGTCCATATATTGTTTTATTAATTTCCTTTGAAAAATAACTTTCCTTTTTATAAATAAGTTTGTTTTTCATATAACATAATGAAAAAATTTATTTAGAAGTTTTTTTCATTCAATATTTACCATTTTCTCTTTACTAACCCTTTTTTTCTTGAACTTACTTCTAATATATAAATACGTTCGTTTAATCTATTTAAGCGTCTAAGTTTTTGACATTATCTATATTTGAAATTTTCCTATAATATGTAATAAAATTGAATCTAATTCAACTGTAGTATTTAATAATGTTCCAGTTATTTTGAATATTCATCTCTATGAGTTCTTCCTTTCTCTCTCTTCAGTTAAGCCATGATTTATGACCTTTATATCGGATGATTTAGATGTAAAATCTCTTAAATGCTCATCTTTGTAACCTGTAAACCTGAAGTGAATATTTATTTAAATTGGAATTGACCCTGGAAGATTTAGTTTTATTATTTAGGATACATTTTTCTAAATAATTTCAATTTGATTCCACCCACAAATAATCCNCAAGGAATGTTAGAATCAGATTAGACAACTAGCAGCATGGTTTTCATAGATTCATCACTAGGTATCAAAAAAATCATATACTGCAACTATTCACTTGACAAAAATAAATCATACTATTTTGCCTTTAAGTTTTATATTTATTTAAAAAATTTTTTTCAAAATAAATCCTTGTTCAATAATACAAATTCCAATTTAATACAATGAATTGGTTTTTGATCTTATGAATTAAGATTTAAAAATTAATAAATAAAAATTGAATTAAACATCTCATTCTTAAATTAAAATTTTATTACAATTTTAGCATGAATCTCCAATATATGAAGATTAAATTTTGAATGAGAACATTATCGATTATTGTTACATCTGATCTTTCATTATAAAATGATATTATTTTCAGAAATCAACTTTGATTTGATATTTATTAAACATTTGTAGTACAAATTTGTGTCCATATATTGTTTTATTAATTTCCTTTGAAAAATAACTTTCCTTTTTATAAATAAGTTTGTTTTTCATATAACATAATGAAAAAATTTATTTAGAAGTTTTTTTCATTCAATATTTACCATTTTCTCTTTACTAACCCTTTTTTTCTTGAACTTACTTCTAATATATAAATACGTTCGTTTAATCTATTTAAGCGTCTAAGTTTTTGACATTATCTATATTTGAAATTTTCCTATAATATGTAATAAAATTGAATCTAATTCAACTGTAGTATTTAATAATGTTCCAGTTATTTTGAATATTCATCTCTATGAGTTCTTCCTTTCTCTCTCTTCAGTTAAGCCATGATTTATGACCTTTATATCGGATGATTTAGATGTAAAATCTCTTAAATGCTCATCTTTGTAACCTGTAAACCTGAAGTGAATATTTATTTAAATTGGAATTGACCCTGGAAGATTTAGTTTTATTATTTAGGATACATTTTTCTAAATAATTTCAATTTGATTCCACCCACAAATAATCCTGAACTCTAAAAGCAAAAGACTCAAATAACTGACTTAATATAAATCTGCATGTTCGAAGTTGGCCTAGAAAGCTGATAAAATCAATAATCTTATAACCTAAATAATAAGTAATCTGCTGAAATCAAAGATCATCTTATTGAGAATTAAGAAGAAACTTACTAGTAATTTTAATAAATTGTTATTTTGAGATTAAGCAGGAACTATTTAGAAAAAAAGGCATAATACCTTTTTAATAAGAATGTTTTCAATAGAGGAAAGTTTAATCAGTGTCATAGATACCATTCTAACTCAGAATTATAATTGAAGGTTATATTGATTGATTCTGTCTTTTTTGTTTTATCTTATACATTATAATCTCGTGTGTCTTACAAAGGGATCAATTTATACTAACCTTTTCTCTTAAAAGTATGGCAAAAAGCTTTATTATAACACACACTTTTTTCATAATTTTCTTCAAGGTGGGTATAACAGTTCATCAGTAGAATTTGATAATTAATTTCAGAAGTCATTTTAAAATGAAGCTTTAAAATAATTATACTTCTATTCTAAAACCATAAATACATTTCTTTTTTCATTTTATGATTTTGGAGACATCCCCTTTAGCATAATAGAATTGTTTTTATTTATGTAATTCATTTTCTTAAATAATCACAGAGAACTTCTTTAATGTTGTTGAATTAGATTGATTAAGATTCTAAAAATTGATGTTTATCTTACAGAATGTAAAAAATGATTGGGGTAGAATCTACAGATGATAGCAATTTGACAATAATATTTTATTATACTAAATATTTTTAAGGGTTTACATCACTCAAGTCAGTAGAGGTTATGTAAGAAGCCAAGCTTAAAATTATTGGGTGCTATTTGGTCTTTATAAGAACAGAATTGATAGTTACGCTTTTGGTTAATTATTTATATTTCTAGTTAAATTAATTCATAAAAGAGAGGTTTAATTATCTTAGTCAAAGACTCTGTGACCTATTTATTTTTAATTAAATTGAGCATAGAGGGTTATTTTAAATTTTGCAGCGTCCCTCACTAATATGCTTAATTTTACTCTAAAGAAATCCTTGAATTAATTTCAATATCATGTTTCTGAAGTTCTCTAAATTTAAATAGTCCAGATCTAAAGAAATATTTAATTATAATATCCATATCGATTTTTGCTAGTTATTTTAATTAAATAAATATATACTATAAAAATATATTTAAATGGTTTACTAATTAATATATTTAATTAATAATAAAACAATGAATTAAAACTAATAGAGTTAAGATTTTAAATGTAAAGATCATCCTGAAAAACCTGCACTTTTTTGGTGTAAATCAAATGTTTGCAATGAGAATCGAATTTTCTGTCTTAATTGTCAAAAGTAGAATAACCATATTTAACATTACGCTGAAGATGTCCTTAGTATTCATGAATTAGATTAATTTTTAATTGAAAAGTCAAAACTTTCTAATGATCTCATTTCAGAATGTCAAATGTAATTCTAGTCAACAGTCAAATCCTATGAGAAGCTCATGTCTGGTTTATCTTATAAGTTCTGCGGATTAGAAGATAAAATTAATAAATTAAAACCATATTAAATACAACAAGCACTTGATTCTATGATTAGATTTGAAGAATTTAGGAACCATTTGAAAACCAACATTTAAGGATTTTTGTTCAAATTAAAAAAAATTTTAGATGATCTTTTTATTAAATTGGAATTACATCTGATTTAATATTAGCTGATTGATTAATAGATTAAATTTAATAAAGATTAATATCAATATGGTTTAATTTGTTTTATATTTAATAGGTATCTCTTTAATCATTAGAAATTAATAAAATGAGGCAATTCAACTCTTTGATAAGTTATTATTGACAGAACCTTATAATGTAGAAATTATGTATTAAAAAGGTTAATAATTATTATTATTTTAAGCGAACACATTAATTTAATTGGATAAGTAAGAAGTTGCTTAATAGATATACAAAAATATCATTACAATTAACCCAAAACATGAGCTCTCCTTATTGAAAATGGGTATTTGATTACTTTATTATTTAGGTGATATTTTAAAAGATTAACATTCTTTTTAGTAGGCTCAAGAATATTATGAAAAATGTATTCTAATAAATGCAAATAATTCTGCAGCTTAATTTGGAATAGGTATTATCGTATCAAAATTATTAGGAGAATGTTTAAGGGAGACTTATTAATATCATCATGCATTATAGTTTTATCTAAAATCTATTGAATTAAATTCATTTAATACAGACAATTACTTTTATTATGGTAAATTTCGATATAAAATAATTTAGGTGATTGCTTAAAATAATTAATGAAATATCAAGAAGCAATCTATGCATATGAGAAGGTTTTAGTTAAAGATTCTCATTATTCAGATGCAATTGCAGGAAAAGGTACAAATATAAAATTCAATAAAAAAGGAATATGTTTATTGATAGTTAAGGAATATATAATAATAATATAT